CCTTTCTTAAATAAAACTAGTTTATTCTTTCTCAATACAACTTTGCAATACACAGAATATCCATAGGATGGCTAGGAAGATTCTTTTTTTTTATATAATAGTAGTATATGACCAATAATTTAAAATGATTTAGGAAAAAGGTATTCATTCCCTCATATTTTTTCTAAAGTCATTAAATTGAAAATTTTCATTTCGCAGAATCTTAAAATATACTTTCAGAAGGTGAGATTGTTTTATTGACAAGTTTCATCAGATGGCGCTACGTATTCATAATTTTAGATGCTAGAGTTTGGATCTGAGACTCAGTTTACAGTTAAATTTTTTCTGTTAAGCACAAAGCTACACAATGGTTTATCCGTACTTTGCTGATCGCAGGTATCGAAGCCCGAATCTTAGCTTGAAAGGCCTTTAGACTTACCAGTGAACCATCGAGGTGTTCTTGGACAAATTAAAATTACCTCAATCTAGAGTTACTGTTCTTATTATTACCCAAACAAATGTGCGTTTAACAAGATTGAACATTCATAGTCATCCCGTACGTTTCACTCTTACATTTACATTGTAAATTTTCATGAACGAAAAATCCTTGACCAATAGTCCAAAGAATTGGAAATAACCCTCTTTTTCTAGCTGACTGTTTCTTTTTGCTGCCCGGTTCACTTTTTGTGACATATTTCGGTGATTTCCATGAGTTGTCTGTTTACACGTTATGTGAAATTGCGGGTAATGCATGACGTAAATCATGAGGTAGGAGAATATAAACCTCAGCTACTTGTCGGCCAAAAGTAAAGGCGGAATACTGTATGCATAGCTGTTCAGATCGTTACAAGCTTGTGGACCAAAAGTAAAGTGGGCATACTATATGTTCAGAACGTTACAAACGTATCGAAAATTGTATCTCTCACATTAATCTTTTTGTCAAATTTTAAAGGTCAGCATCAAGGCTCAGAAAAAATATCCTTAAGTCAAACAAAGTTATTGACGACATTCAGGAAAAATGTCTTGCTCCACAGTGGTCTGTTACATCTAAACATCGTCTTAGGGCTTTACAGGTCGTTAGCTTAAGTGAAGCTCCACAATGGCCTTATAGTCACTGCCAAACCCTCTGGTAAAGTTTTATAGGACGTGTCGCTAGAGTGAAGCTCGCTCCACAGTGACCTAACTGTGACATTCGAACTCTGTTTTAGAGTTTTACAGAACGTGTCGCTAGAGTGAATCCCATCCCACAGTGACCTAACTGTCACATACAAGCATTGTGTTAACGTTTTATAAGGCGTGTCGCAAGAGTGATGCTCAGTCCTCAGTGTTCTGATTAGTTCTTTTAGCAATGGCTCACTAACACCTCGTATATGTACGTTAATGGAAGTGAAGTGAAATCTGGGCAACTTTTTCTTTTTCTGGTTAATAAATCAATAAAAAATGAGCACAGACTTCTCGTGTTCCAGACCTCATAAGCCTCTTTCTTTAAGGCCTTCTTCTTGGACGTCAAACAGTTTCGAAACTCAGTTTTCTAGCACTTCGAATAAGATCGACATCATTCAAGAACTCGATCTTTATTTCATGAGACAAGTTGCTCATAATCTTCAGGTTAGTATCTCTTAGCTAAGAAAACTATAACGTTCTAGTTTACTAAACAAATAGCATTTTTTCAATACTACGTGTTCATGTTACATTTCTCGTAACGTTAGTTCTCGGTTACTGTTGTGTTGATAAAGGCAACTTTCTAAACATATATTCACTGTCTTCCCATCAATAGCAACTGCTTTTCTCTCTCTTTTACAATTTCATAACTTTTTCTCCTATAAACTCGCTCTCTAATAATCACGGACTATACGTAATCTTCTCATTCATAAAAAGTACTTCAACACTAACTGCGATCTATAAAGGTAATTGTATTAAAATTATGAGTGTTACTCACTGACTTACATACCATATATATGAATGTTTCTCACTTACATACCTTATATATGAATGTTACTCACTTACATACCTTATATATGAATGTTACTCACTTACATACCTTATATATGAATGTTACTCTGACTTACATACCTTATATATGAATGTTACTCACTGACTTACATACCTTATATATGAATGTTACTCACTGACTTACATACCTTATATATGAATGCTACTCACTGACTTACATACCTTATATATGAATGTTACTCACTGACGTA